GGACACCTCCGTTCCCCCCAGAAGTCGCCCGTCCATAATGTTTTCATATTAACGGGACAAAAATACGTGTATTTTCACAGTTTGTCCCGAAAAGGGTGTCCACATCGATATTAACGGGGCTCATATAAACGAAGCATGACTGTAGTACACATGTTAAACTTTGTTTTACAAATTTAAGCTAAAAACATTACAAAATGTATGTAATGTTATGGACAGTCTCACCGTTTATTGACAATCTGAGGTGGTTCTAATTAAACAGGTTCTAATTAAATCACCATAAAAAAGAATTCTATAATAACACGGTCAGAGGGGTGGTCCGCTTCGTTAATTCTGACTTTTTAAAAAAATAATTGGCTCCTTTTTTTTTTCTTATTGATAAATATTTAGTTTTTTTTTTTTTTTTTAATTATGTGCGGGTTTTTGCATTGAGTTCTTCCGAAGGCAGCTCCTTCAGAAATCATAACTTCTGAAGGCAGCGCCTTCAGGAAAGCCACATTAGAGTAATTGACTAGAATCCATTAACTTTTAATATTGATTTGACGAATCGTGTTAAAAATGCAGTATTGACGCTGATTTCTATTAGAGACTATACGAATGAATAGATTTTAGTTAACTATTCAAATAACGAAGTCGATGGCGCGAAATCCGCGAAATGTTCCACTAACTGCTATCGATTCAAAATTGTAGGCACTTACGTAACACCTGAAACACAGCGACAACTGAAGTTTGACTTCAGAGCTTCCTAGGTGTCATTTCGGAGCAGATGAACTGAATAAACGGCAAAAGTGAGAGCGTGAACCTTAGAGTCTGCAAAGGCGTTTCGTATTAAACGGAGCAACACATCGTACGAAACTTCCATGGCGTCTTGGAGCCAGTGAGGGTGTATTGGGTAGCATTTCAGCTGTCTGCGCATGAGGGGAGCGTGTTTTCATACGCCACTTCGGAACAAATAGTAATAAACGAAAAGCGCCGAATGAACAGGGATAGACCGATCTCACCAGCCAGTTTGACTTCGCCAACGCTGCCGCAATGCGTCAAGGGAACTTTCTGCACGTGCGACAAACTCGCTGGAGCTCTGCGCGTGAAGAGCACGAGACGGCACGAACCCTCTCGTGCACTGCCGTTTGTCTCCTGGGAACTAAATTTATGGCGGCGTCACGCATGCGCCGAACGCTTGGTGAGATCGGTCTATTCCGGGTCGCATGGGCAGCTATCCCACTGCACTGCCAGATTTCCCAGGTTGCCCGGCGGGGACTGTTATAACGTGATAAAAAAAGTATCCGGCGTCGGCGGGAACGAAAAATCCCACAATTCAACGCGCGCAACAACGTGTGACGTCACACATGGCTGTGACGTCATTACCCTATCGACCCGCTAAATTTGGTGGGATATTTAGTGGGAAACCATTTTCGCCAAATTTAGCGGAGAATTAAGAATGGAAAGCTATCGCATTCCGTTCTCAAAAGCGAAGCTTAAGCCAAGTTTTTACTGTCCATGTATGTTATCTTGCTTGCTTCTTATGTTATCAGCTGTGCGTGGAAGTTCCGGCCGGGATTGCCACAAATGGCCCGCGTTGATATAAAGCACGCTCGACGGCGCGAAACCGCGAGGTGTCCGACGAACAGCTATCGCTGTAATACTATCCCCATTCCTGCCCATTTCGATCTGGACGAGCATCGTATACCGGCGCGCGGTCGTGATGCATGTTAAGGCCCCAGGCAGCAGTTGTACTATGATGATTGGAGCGCGTCTCCGACTTGTGTGTTTAGCGTCCTATTCCGCCCATACATCAACAGTGGTCCCCAAGTGGCAACAAATGACGTCACAGAAGCCGGAGTGTCATGCTGTTGCCTGTCGCGATCCTGGCGGTTGACCGTAGAAATGCTGGCGAAAAGCACGAGCGAACGCGAGTGCCGCTGTCGTCACGGCGTCCCAGGTGTCCCAACTCCCAACTTCTCCTGGGGCTGCTGCCGCCATAGAGTTATTACAATAAACGCTAGAGGCTCAGCTGGCGCTAGTGTCTATGGGACTTCCGGTTGCAAATTGAAGCAGACAGCATGCAGTCTACTTTTCCAGTCTTCCTGTGTATTCCTATGGGAAAACGCGCGTGAATTCTGTTTCGTCGCCGGAAAATAACATTAATAACTTTTGTTATTTCGGTTGTACCGGGTAGTATGTACCTTTATTAATATTGTGAAAGTGTAATTGCTTTAGTTACAGCATTTTTCCTTCACCACTGAACGATGCTAAACTTCGCTATATTTCAGGCCCAAACCTCTGTTCCATGGCAGGTATGTAGAAACGAGCGATGATTCTAAGCAAAATAACGATCGAAAAGTGTGTTCAAAGTTCGCCGGCATTCCGTTAGTGCTTATATATTGCTAATATGCCTGTCCTCTCACTATATGAAAATGACCCCGTCGTGCATCTCTACGAGCGGTTAAAAAAAAACGTTCGAAATTTAACGTAAAGAATAAAGTACGTGGGCTACGAAAAGTTGTTTTTTTTCTTTATTATTTCCTATGTTGGGCAGTTTTTATCGCGCACCTGTCCTCTGGCTTCCCTCTGTTTGCAAAGATTTGGAGCGTGCGGGTGATGATTTGAACACAGAACAAGCATCTTCGCACATATTTATGAGCAGAAAGAATAAAGCAGTACTTATTTATTGCAAATCGGACTATATTACGTGACTTTCAACTTATTTTGATCGTCTGCAAGCACGAGGAGTTATTTACCCAGTGCTACTGCGTAGTTCTTACCGTCTCTCTTGGTTTTCCACATGTCGTTCGTTCGTTTGGCACGTATATCCCCCATGCTGGAAAGCGTCGACGCCGTGTTCGCGCTAACAGTGTCCGACAGTGCACATAAATACACGTACGAAGCGGTTTTAACACCGTTTTTAATGCCGCGAATTTCAAATAAAAATGCTGTAACCGACCAATTATTTCGTCTGCGTGACTGAGAAATGTTCCAATGTGCCTAGTACGTACAAATTATTCGTGAAATTTGCTCTTATAATCGAGAGCAGAGAGAAAATGCACTCGCTTTTTCCCATAGAAATGCATTACCGGAAGTCAATTTCTGACTGCATGCTGTCTGCTTCAATTTGCAACAGCACACTAGCGCCAGCTGAGCCTCTAGCGTTTATTGTAATAAATCTATGGCTGCCGCTTCCGTGGACTGTCACAGTGTAGAGCGACCTGCAGCAGAACAGGCGTCTGCCACACATACCACAGCTGTTGGGACGCCGCCAGGATCGCGACCGGCGACAGCATGACACTTCTATGACGTCATCGGGTGGAAATCGAGGGATCACTTTTTTAGACGCGGTAAACACACCAGTCGGAGACGCGTTCCAGGCACCATAGTTGTACTACACTTGCTAAATGTCTCATCTACAGTGGGTATACAATGTCGCCGTGTTCGGGCAGACTAACCTCGCGCTTTATAAACAACAAACGACTATTTACTTTTACCAGCTTCCTATATCCTTTGATATCAATCACTCTCATGGCTGCTGCGATCGGTGTCGAAGAGTTCGACGAAGCGAGCGATGCCGTAGACGTCATCGTCTGGAAATCGCCCGCTCAAAACGCGGGAGGTAAACAAGGAAGCCGAAGCACGAGACGAGATCCATGTCTGCGAGTGTGCGCAAGGAAACGCCGCGCGTTAGGCGGATGACGTCACCGATTCACCCCTCCCCCCCCCCCCCCCCCCCGCCAAAAAAACAAAACAAAAAAACATGACGGCATTTTTGAATAATATGAATCCGGGGTTCCCGCATATAAAACGGTTAATCCACGAAACTATCAGAAACTATGGAAACAAAATGGGCCATAGTAGTATAGTTATCGGCGTATCAGGCATGTAGCCAGGGGAGAAGGGGGGGGGGGGGGGGGCATAGGGCCCGCCCCCCCCCCCCGAAATCTTTTACTTTGCTGGGCCTTCTCTCCCCCTCCCCCTCATACAGCATTTTGTAATCCCCCCCCCCCCCCCCCCCCCCGAATCAAAATCCTGGCGACGTGCCTGTCTCGTATATTTTATTTTATCGTGCCCCTTAAGCTCAAACGAAGTATGGACTTTTTCAGCGCTTATCACCCGGGCGAAAAATTCCGAGTCCCAGAGGTGTGCATGCATGAGCAGCGTAACAGAGCTACAGCGCATGCTCAAAAGGCAGCCTAGCAGACAAAGGAAAAATGGTAGCGCACCAGGAGGCGGTTCCCCCCTTCTCCCCAAACCCGAGTGTTCCGTTTTCTACTCCAATTCCTACCTACACAGACTGGAACGCCTCGTGTCCGGTCATTGTGCCGGATGCTCGGCATCAGGCACAATGACAACAAAAACAAAAGTACAAGTAAACATAAGCTGGCCATAAGGGGGCGAGGGCTACAGATAGCGCCGCAAGTGAGATTATTGTCAAACAAAAGGGCGAATACAAAGCCTGCGTTGGGTCGGCTGTATCTACAATGTCGGTGGCTTGCCACGCGACCTCATTGATGAAATGAAGCAATTGCAATCAAATAACACACACACACAAAAAAGTGAACGTTATTTATGGCCGCGTCCGTGCACAGCTGCCGAAAAGTCCCTCAACAGTTCGGACTGCTGGCGTTTCAGAGGTGCACAATCTTCTCTAAAGCTCTGTTGTTTGAGCGTACGGATCAGCGCGGAATAAATTATCTCACGCGCCCCTATCTTCTTTCCCACTGGGTAACATACTCTCCACTACGCTTGCATGACCCCTACGAGCTGCTCGCGGCTTAGCCCTCTCAGGAGTAGTTTACCCATACCGTGGGTCACGGACGCCACGTGCACGGTCCTATACTTTTTATTCCTACCAAGGACGTCGCCAGAGATCGAGAATGACTTAAAGGCACGCGCGATCAGTTAACGGTCATTTCATGGCCAGAGAGCAGCCGCGTCGAGACTCAACGGGAAAGACCGGCGGATTGTGAAGTCGACAGAAGCCACCCCAGCAGCCCTGCGACCGGCAGACCGCAATGGCGTCGACGACGACGACCAGACTGGTCGCCGGAGTGAGTGAGAAGTTCGCCTACCTGGCATCTTTGCGGGACCCAAGGACCGCCGGTTGGAGCCTCACGGCGGACCTGAGGTTCATGTTGCCAGTGTGTCTCGGCTACCTTTACGTGGTGAAGATAGCGGGTCCGCGGTGGATGATGAACCGGAAGCCCTACAACCTCAAGGCGGCCATCATGGGCTACAACGTGTTCCAGGTGATTGCGAACGCTTTCTTTTTCGTGCAGTACACGCGTCTCACGTACTTCGGTGGTAACTACAACCTGTTCTGCCAGGGCATTGACTACTCTCTGAACGAGAACGAGTTGCGCATTCTTCGAATTTCGTGGTGGTACCTCTTTGTGCGGATCGCCGACTTCATGGACACTTTCTTCTTTGTGGCGACGAAGAAGTTCTCTCACATCACGTACCTGCACGTCGTTCACCACTTTCTGGTCGTGCTCAACGGCTGGGTCTACCTCGCCTTCGGAGCTAGCGGTCAGCTCATCATGGTCCTGTGCCTCAACACTCTCGTGCACGTCGTGATGTATGGTTACTACCTGCTCTCCTCACTCGGGCCCAGCATTCAGAAGTACCTTTGGTGGAAGCGGTACCTCACCAGGTTGCAGATCTTCCAGATCGTCTTCCTAACGCTGCACGGATGCATTCCTCTCTTTTACGATTGTGGATACCCCAGAGCGCTCCTGCTGCTCGCCCTTCCACAATCTCTGGTGGTTCTTGCGCTCTTTGTCAACTTCTACATTCGGTCGTACACGGGCAAACCTGACCTTTGCATTTCTCAAACAGGCAAAGAGCAATAAAGGACTATATAAGTAATTAATTTAGCGTGTTGTTTTGTGCCTGTGTGACCGCGTGGCGAGTTTTGGATTGGCTTTGGAAAAATAAAGTGGAATCGGTAGGAATGTGGAAAAGGATGTTGTTCCCTGGGATAAGGGATGGGTAATATTTCAAGTACAAGTATTTAAAGTACGCATTTAAAATACATTGAGTATTTTGTATTTCGTACTTATTTACATAATGCATTTGGCAACTGTATTTGAATACTGAAAATGTAGGGATTCAAGTACATGTATCTCAAATACTGCCCAAAATACAATTTTGGGCACTGTTCTTTGCAATCAAACGAGCTCTTGGGAAATCATCGCGATGGAAGTCATATGCAAAGAGCGTAAAACTTGCTGCGCTTTGCTCGTAATAAATGTCGAAGAGAGAAAGGAAGAGTATAAACAAGGAATGAACGGAATGAGTACAGTTACTGACTTTTTAGGTGAGCCATATAATTTTTTATTTTTTAAACACGTCGCTTTTACGAAATGTTGTTGAACAGGCTTTGATGCATCAACTCAGCCTTTGAAATTAAGCTCACACTGAATTGTTTTTTTTCCCTGATGTTGTAACCCCCATGAAGTTATGACAAGCAAAGTTTCTTTTTAGAGCTGCAACGTTCTTTTTTCTCGCTTGATTCTTACTAACCAGGATGTTATATTTATATACGAACCGATAAAAAAAAAGGTGGGGAATGAGCGTGCTGGGCGGACATTAGATAAGGGGGTAATCGTCATGATAACTTGTCTAATTAACTAAACTGTGTTAACATTTTAATGATTGGTTTTATAGCTTGCGTTGGAATTGGAGTATTGCCAATCTAAATAAAAATTTCGAAAGGGTAGTTTTTTTTAGATATAAATCAAGTGTCGCGTTTTTTAGACCGATTTAAAAAATTGCGCCAAAAGGCAATGCAAGCCCTGCCCACAATGACGTTTGGAAGTGTGACGTGGCCGCTTCAGTCACGTCGTCACTCGCGTGGTGAGCGCTGCCCCCAAGAACGGGCTGCCGAGGTAGTGACGACATCATCGAAACTGCTACGTCACCCTTCCTAGCCTCATTGTAGGCAGGGATTGAGACGTCCTTTTAGAGCGCAATTTTTAAATCGAGCGAAAAAAAAGCGAAAGTGGTCGATTAATATTTTAAGAAACATTACTTTTTTTTTTGCAAATGATTTTAATTGGTCTGGCCTCTAAAGCAATTGACGTCAATACTTCAACTGAAACAACCAATAATTAAAAAAAACAATTTTTTTAGTTAATTGTTTAACTTACAGTGACGATTATTCCCTTATCTAATTTCTATGAAGACAAAACTCATCTAACCATGACTCTCTATTAAATTTTTTTTTTAATTTAAAATGAAGCATTTTAATTTTTCGTTGGGGCACCGTCTTTTTCTTTTTTTTACCTGGGTTAAATTTGTCTGAGATGTCAGTCTGTCAAAACAAAATGTTTTTGTAAAAAGCATTTGAAGATGATCAAATACCCTCGTCGTATTTGAATTTTACAACTTGTATTTAACTACTTTTCTAAAAAAAAGTGTAATTCAATCGGTAATTCAATACATTTTTGGCGAAGTATTTTGATTTCGATACGTCTTTTGCGGGCATTCTGCAAATTCCTGCCTGCATGGGATATTACGTAGAGTCAAATAGCTGTGAGGCCATCAGAGTCAGTAACGGACAGCTTCAGAATGAGAAGGCGTTGCTTTTCATGTCCACACTGGATGTATAAAATAGTGTGCACCCTTTATAACGGGCGGTAGCTTGCGCCACCTAGCCCAGAAATTAACAACCAAAAGTATAATTCTTCCCTTCGCCCTTGCTTCCTGCTTTTTTTTTTCGCTTTTATTGGCTAATAGTTCAGCCTGAAAGGCAGTGAAGCGATAGGATTGCTGAACCAATCATACACAAAAAAGACAGCCTAGTGACGTGCGGTTTTGATGCTGCTTGATTGGTCCCACCATTACCTTGTAGCGACGAGTAGCACTAATAAACTTACGTGATGTTTTTGGCATCTTTCGCTCTTCGGGGTTCTGCTCAAAAAACGGAAGAATCAACAGGATTTTTTCCTCTCACTTTGATGGTTACGAGCAGGTACGAAACACACACGCTTCCATATCGCGAGCCGCGCATGCAAACGAAAACGTGGGTCTCTAATCTATCGCGCTACAGTCCTATTAATTGCACCCATCCATCGCAATGTTCGTTATTCCTTGAAATCACGGTAAGAGGCTGCTTTAATAATGTGTCCTAAAACTTTTTTTTTTCTCGCCGATGCAGTTTTACATTATTAGTATATCTACTTTTGATGATTTTCGTCATACAATATATCCCGCATCGCACTCAAATAAAATTGGTTTTGATAAAAAAATCCTTACACCTGCCACGCTACCACCGTATAAATAAGGGCGCGAAGGAGGTCAAATAGAGAGCCTAGGAGGGAATAACTCAAAACCACGGAGATCGTTTGCAATGGACCTTTTCCAGATACCGACGGCACCAGGCGGTGGCGGCACGAACTCAAAATCGAGGAAGCGACCTACCTGCGCTACCAATCGATAATGGGAACTACGCTACCTGTTTCTTCGCTCTCTGAGCTGCGGCGCGTGCCCAACCCGGCCCAAACGCGACTTCAAAGAGTCAGGGTGGCATCCGTAGGGTCCACCCAAACGTCGTGTTTTTCTTTCCTTCCATTTTCTTCTTTCTTTTTTTTTGAGTAACCCAAATATATATATGCTGCAATTACGTGTTATACTCGCTGATCCACAGCCTCCTTCTGAATTTCCTCGATTTTTCGTGCCGACTTCCGCCGCTTGGCATCGGGCGCTCGCGCGTGCGCAGAACGCTTCTCGGAAAAGGTCCATTTAATGGAAGAAGGCGGAATCGCTTGCAGACGATTAAGGATGTCATCACCTCCGCGCAGCTCGTATTGTAAACACGGTCTATGAACCACGTGACTTCGATCATGCAGTTAGAAACATTCCAAAACACTAAGCGTAATGTCTTTAAAAAAAAAAAAGGCGAAAATAAAGCTTGCGTTGGGTGCATGCATGAGCACGACGGTATCTCTACTATCTACAATGCCAGTTACCTAGCTGTCGCGCGACCACAGTAAAGTAATTGTTTCGCGTGAACGCCTAAAACAACCGGAAGTTAGTTAGCCCCAACGGGCGTCGTCTAGCGTCTCAGCTCTGGGTGATAAATGTAGCCAGTACAGCCCATTGCTAGCCCGAGGTCTCTAACGTGCATCACGCAGTAGTGATACACCATACCGGACGCCGGTATACGACGATCATCTAGATCGAAACGGGCCAAGGGGATAATTGAGCGCAGGATCCCTGGGTTCTGCTGCGCGAACTTACGCTCCACGTGCTCCGAGTTTCGCTGCGTTAACGTATACTCAGCCACCAATCCCTTTCTTTCTTCTTTTTTATTGTCTGCCACCAATTTCCTGCTACTACCACAGTGGCGAAGTGAAGCGATCGGAAGGAAGTACACAAACACAAAGAGCCAAGGTAATTTCTGACCGCGTCCGTGCACAGCTATCGAAACGTCTCCATACGATTCAGGCAGCTGACGTTGTAAGTGATACAAAGTTGTCTGGATAGCGCAGTTGTTTTGGGCGTACGAATCATCATTCATCGCGGAAGGAAATTCTCGGGGGCACGCTCCGTTTCACCAAACGGACGGCAGCGCCACCGGATATGCACTGACACTTGAGCGCGCTTTTTGCGCACCGAGTTTTTCTCGGAGCCCGAGTGACTTCTTCGCGCTGCGTGACGTCACTTCCCCCAGACAAGAGGGCTTTCAACAACGTTTTCTGTCACGACAGAAAAAAATTGTTGAAACGAGGAAATGGACGGACCGCTGCCCATTTTCAGTTGGATAGTGCCTAATCCAGCGAATAAAGAGGACATGATTGGAAAGCCGAAATATCAATTAACGTTTCGGAAAAGGTTTGTTCGTGCATCTTGCCTGCTATCTAGCGAACGGCGGAGCGCGGTACCGCAACGGTGCTTCCAGGGCGGCCATGCTGCATCCAAGGCCGCACTGCGGGAAGCGACCGTCGGTTCTGCAAGAGCCCTGGATGCGCTAGTATACGCGATCGTCCTCCGTGTCGTCATCTTCCCACTTTGAAAAGATGTTTGAAAACATCGCTCGCGATATAAAACAACGCGATTATACTGTATCCAGTGGCTACACATAATGTTGAATGGTCAAGGAGCCTTCCAGTTCGTTCTATTTTAGTCTAGGATGTATATTTCGCAAACGCAAAGCGAGAAACATGCTTTGCCCGAAACTCGGTGCCTGCAAGGTCGCTTCCCCGCACTAACGTTGGATTCAGCTCGGTGCACGTGGCCGTTTCTCCGCCAATACGGAGTCGGTGGCGAAAAAAAAAAAAGGAACGTGATACTCTGGCTCTGCAAGCAGAGCCACAAAAGTTTCTCTAGGCGAAACCAGCGAACATCCCTGACAAGCTTGACAGTTTCCTGAGTCGGCGAGCGAGGGCAAGGATGTTTACTTTGTTTTAAACCTGGGTAGGATGCGCGGACAATAAATAGATCTGTCGCTGCAACTTTCTGTAGAGCGGTTGCAGCAAGTTTCTTCCTGCGCACCTGAAGCGAGTTTCTGAACCTTTCTGGGAATTAAAACATTGCAAGACACTTCATAGCGTCACCGACTTTTTTAGTGTCTTCCGTTCCCAACGACGCAGAGGGGCTTAGAGCGATAGACCAGGGTTCCGGTCTGTACCTCGGAAATGACCCCCCCCCCCCCCCCCCTTCCAAGCCTCTGCCATTGTACGGAAATGTGACCACTCGTCACGTTACCATACACAGGAAAGATGGCAGCGCCCAGGCAGCGGCTGGCCGCAGCATTGCATCCAGGGCGGTGCCACTAAATAAGCTCATTTAGTGACTCTAGGCCGGGGCTTGTCGGATGCATTGTTCGTTGTCATTAATTGGTCTCAGC